TAAACAGTGGGTGGGACCCAGACTCCGACATCATCATCTTCGTAGATTGGCACAAGGCCATGCAAGATGGTATGAAGTTCTGTTGGTCTGATAACGGAGTCCTCTTGTCCGAGGGAAATAACGGTATCATCGAACCGTGCTACATTTCCCATGTAGAGGACCTTGCCACGGGGAAGCACTGGCGCAATCCCGAGTACCTGGGGGATCGCCGGGCGCGAGTCCCCCCCGCCGTGCTTTCGGCCCCTGGCAGGTGGGCTGACGTTGGCAGTGCCAGCGTCGAATACCAGTGGTCCCGCGACCAAGAGGGCGTCGACCCTCCCATGGTCTACCTCCACAGGGAGGTTGGGGACCACTACAGTCCCGCCACGCTGGGAAACCAGCCATAGGTCCACCAGATCTTCATGATCACCGAGAGCGAGGCCGGGAGCGCGGCTCCAAGCCGTGCCCCAAGCCAAGGGCCCAGCGCCGTATTTTGGCAGGCCATCAGCACCTCGGACCTGGACCAGATAGCGGCCGCTCTGAACCCTGAACAGGTGGCGGACAGGTTATATCAACAAGACCCATGGGCCGCTGGCCAGGGAGCAATGTCCGCCATGGCGACGCGAAATCGTCAGGCCATGCAGGGAAACCTGCCTATAAATGGACTCAGAGCTGAGATGCCTGAGCCGCAGGGAGACCCGCAGACGTTCGGCCGCATCTTTGGAGAGCCTGCTCGGTTTGAGCAGATGCATGGTAGCCCCTCGCAGAGTATGCACACACCGAGGGGCATGACCCAATGGCTACGCCACCTGCACAGTCTCCGTTCGGGACTCCTGGCCGCCCTGCCACGAACGGCACCCTCATGGAGAGGATCGCAGCGGCCAGGGCCGAGCATGGTACGGCTCTCCTGAACATGGTGCCGCCCGGCACTCCAACGAGTCAGCAGGGAAACCTGCCAGGCACTCCAAGCCATCATCGACCGTTTGCTGGACAAACCACAGTCGCTGGTGTGCCTGATGACTACCGTGCCAGAGTGGCGGCTGCTGTGCAGCAGGTGCAAAGCCATAATCTGCCTCACCCAAGTGGTCAGAGGTGGAGGCCGGCCTGGTCATGGGAGCCCGAGGGTCCCAATCCAAGGGATCCTGCTCGGCAGCGAGCCTTCATCCCAGCCTTCAATGCTCACCCGAGCATGGCCCAGGGCCAGAGGCCACCGCCAGCGCGCATGAATCCGCCACTGTACCCTGATGGGTCTAGAGTCCCGAACAAGTTTGTTCGTGAATTGGCGGATCAGTTCCACAGCCTCACTAACGTGCGCTGTAGTGATCAGTCTATGTATCCGCACATGGCCTTTATGCCTGCGCCGACGACGCCAGATGTGGTTGTCCAGCCCACTGCCCATTCGATATCGTCTGGCAGTAGAGGTGTGCCTGATTACATCAGGCAGACATACCACACTCAACAGGCATGCTTCAGGCGCAGACAGGCCGTGCAGAACGTACGTGATCATTCGCGCGCAGCCGCGCTTGAGGTTGTGAGGAACAGAGGCTCACCCTTGCGAGGAAACTCGCCCGCTGCGACGCCTACAGCCTCCGTGCCAGCTGCCGGAGTGCCGGGGGTGCTGGATCCATCAGGAGATCCCCCAGCAGTCTTCATGCCCTCCGAGATGGTCTTGGAGAGACAGCGGCGGGTATATCCCAGAGCAGCAGATGAGGAAGTTTTCACTGGGATGGAAGATACTTGCGCGGTATGCCTCGAAGAATTTCAGCCCAGGGAAAGTGTTTACCGTTTGAGGTGTAATCACTTATTCCATGAGGGGTGCTGGAATTCAAATGTGGTGGGCCAGGTCGCAACTCAGCGCGAGGGAGACCCTCAGCAGCCACCGTGTGCTATCTGCCGAGCACCTGGCATCATAGCGTCATCTTTCCCGTGGACCGGCTCCTTCATTCAGACTCCTGAGCAAGCAGCGAGGGAGCTGCGGGAGTTGAGGAGCATGGTGGAGGAGATGACAGCCAGGATGCTAGATAGGCAGACAGCTCAGCCCCAGCAGCAGGGAAACCTGCCAGAGGAGGTGAGGCCGCCGATGGAGACGGGATACTTCGATCAGCTTACCCCGATGACGGTGCCTCAGCAGAGAAACCTGCCTAACACTCCTCAGATGTCTCCCCAGAGTGGGGGCGGGGCAGAGATGGCACTGGACCCTGACCAGCTGCGTGAGTTGCGTGTTCGGCATTTCCAGAATCAAATGGATAATGCGCACACAACCTTTATGCTGGATGCCGACAATCCTGAGACTGATGGTGCGTCGTTTGACCTCTCAGATTCCTCAGTGGCAACAGCAGCAACAGCAGCCAGGGCCGTCGACATCACAGCGACGAACGAGGAATTCGAGGAGTGGCTGCAGTACAGGGATCACCTCACGAATGAGGGGTTGCAGGATATTGCCCTTCACTCGTATCTGACGCTGACGAGACGCACGACCCGCGAGCAGTATAAGAGCATACGCGATGAGTATGCCAACTGGCGGGAGGAGCGTGGCGATCACGTCCAGCACGTGTCGTACTTCCAGTACATCGACCTGGTACGTATGGCCGAAGGCAGGCCGTATGCCAGCGTCATGCGGGGTAACCCGCCAGGGAGTACAATTGACCTGCGGGGAAACCCGCCAAACAGCACAACCGACACTTCAGAAACGGTGCACATCAAGCAGCCGAGTAAGACGTTCTTGGACGATGGTGGAAACTCAATCCTCATCGATGTAGGCTCGAAGATCAACATCATGGGTGAAAACACGAGCCGCAAGTTCGTCCAGGCTGCTGAGGCACACGGCCGTACTTGTACGTTCGAGCCCCGCTCTCGTTTGAACATCAACGGAGTGGGAGAAGGGTCGGCCCCAGCGGATACCGTAGGCACATTCAGCATTGCCTGCGAGTACCAGGGGTCGACCCAGCTCGATTCGTCCAAGACGAACATTGTGTCAGGCTGTGGCAAAGACCTGCCAGCCATCCTAGGCCTCGATAGTATGCAGGACAAACGCACGATCATCGTGCTTGAACGAGGCCAGGAGAAGCTGATATTCCCTGGGAAGGGGCAGGTCAAGATGGAGCTTCCCGAGGGCTCCAATATCATGCCGACGACGAAGTTGCCGTCAGGGCATCTGTCGATCAGGTGTGATCGTTTTGGAGCTGCGGGGCAACCCGCCTCGAGCTCAAGCAGCACGTCATTCCAGACGGTGCTGACGGGCGAGCCGACCCCGGCGCAGGAGCGCGAGCAATTGCAGGGAAACCTGCCTCAGGGGTTGATGGAGACGCTCGCCAAGGCCACTATGCGAGGCGACAGCCTCGACGATCTTGAAACGTTCGATTGCTTCGTTGCCAGGACACTGGCCCAGCATGGTGGAAGTGTACCCATGGACGCTGTACGGTCCCGCCGGAAAATAGTGATGGGGTACACTAACCGTGAGCTGCAGACAGTCAGCGACGCGAGGTCCAAAGGCGCGCAGAAACGTCCGATGGATAATCCATCCATGCTGACAGCATTTGCGGAGCAATCCGCCTCTAAGGCCACGGCGCGCTGCAGTGCTGAGCTCCAGCATCTGAGGGAAGCCCAGATGCTGGCAGACATTGCAGGCAGAACTTCTTTATCTTGAAGATGGCAGGGCGACGTCGCCCCCTCGTCGTCTTGCCTGTTGGCCGAAAAGCCGGGGGGTAACAAGGGCAGCGGGGTAACCTGCCTTAGTAAGAGGGCTTTTGTCATTGAAGATACGAGAGAGGCTTGCGCCGACCTCCGCACCCGAGGTTATATCTGTGATCGTATTTCCCACAATGAGCTTATGACGAGCGTGGGCACACATTACCTGGGTGCGGTGATCAGTGGAGATTACACTTTCATATGGATTAGTGCCCCGGGTGACTGGTATGTACGAACTCCAGGAAAGAGAGTGGCCCCACATTGGTCACGTATCCAGAACCTTCTGATAAAAGCCAGGCAATTCCGCATGAAAATCATAATATTTGGTCCCCCAGGATATGTTTGGAAGTTATCTCCAGTACGTGATACCCTGGAAGATCTTAAGTTGCCAGTGATACGGATGCGTTTGTGTCGTTTCGGTATTCGGTTCAATATGCAAGACAGTACACGGAGTGGTACTTATATGCAGGTAGCGACAACAATACCGATTAGCTCGAATTTGTGGGCATGTACATGCAAACAGGCGATACCACAACATGTGTTGGATTGGTATGGTCATACGGTACGGCATGCTGAATGGCGAGCTCAGACACGTACTAAACTCATCCGTGATCTGAACGACAAAATCCTGGGAAACACCACCACGCACGGAAACGTGCCAATATATCTGAACACCTATACACGCACGGACAATAACATCCATCACTACGTGACGACCAACAAAGGAGGACCGAAATGGTCTGATGTTATCCGACGTGTAACGATTAACCTGGATACCAATGCGGTTATTCAGGATATCTCAGTCGCCGATCAACCAACAGGGTATGATTGGCATGCACCACTACCTGCAGGGGTTGCCAACATCAGCACTCGGTTGTATTGGCAACCCGAGGAACCGGTCTTGCTCGGAAACGAGCCGACTCAATCACAACAGAAACCTCGACGCGTCATCATAGATGACTGTTCTCCCCCCCTCCCGACTCTGGCGATTGACGCATGTACCCACTCAACCATGACAATGGGCACACAGACCGGCGAACAAAACGAGCAAGTCTTACCTACAGAATCGCGTATCAAGCAGAAGGAAAGGCTCAAAGCCGAAAAGGAAGCAGGCATCAAGCCTCGTCGCATTAATAAGCACGTTGAAGACGGAGACGACGATTGCGGCGACGACTTGTCAGGACTCGGACAGGATCTTATGGCGACCTGGAGTACTGACGTCCCTATTGAGCGCGCGCAGGCCGCGGCCCCCCCCCCCCGCGGAACGTGCGCTTTGCGAACGCGGCGAAAGCGCGTGTTATTCTGCTTTCTGCTTGTTTCGGCGGCAGGCGGCCATGGGCCTGCCTCGCGCCGCCCCAGGACGACACCCGCCGGGCGAGGCCGCCGGCGCAGTTGGCGAGGCCGGACCGGCGGACGCGATGCAGCAGCGCGTGGCCCGGGCAGGCTGGGGCACCGCGCGCCAACACCCGCTGGGCCCGCGCCCGGCACCCGGGGCCCACCCCCTCTACAAACGCGGGCGGCCAACCGGCCCGCCGGCTGGGAACCCCGCCCGGCCCGCCCCCGCCCTGGGTCCGCCTCCCGTGCACGCTGCGCCGCCGCCAACCCAGGGCGCCCTCCCGGCCGCCGCCCACGCTGCACCCCCGCCTGGCTTGGTCCCCCACCAGCCAGCCCGCCCCGACACTGGGACCGCCCGGCGCAAACGCCGCCCCGCCTCCTCGGCCGCACCCAGAAGGCGCCCTCGGCCGGCACCCAACCAGGGGCGGGGCCCGGGACATCCGCGGCGAGTGGGCTCCTGTCTGAGGCCGCTCGTCCTCCGCTTCACCGACAAACGCAAGCACCTGCTGCAGCGAGTCCTGCCGCGCTGGGACCGGGTCCTGCGCACCGTCGGAGGGAGCACCTGGAAGCTCTCTGAGCGCCTCGGCCCCGACCTCGGGCCGCGCCACCAGGAGCGCGTCTTGCGGCGCTGGTCGGCCCGCACGCTCCTCATCCACGTGGCGAACATCGAAAAGTTCCTCGACTGGGCCTCAGAGGAGCGCCCCGGGGTCGACCACGGCAGCTTCCAGGACCACGAGGCAACGGTCGAGCTCCTCGTAAGGTATGTCATGGACTTGCTGGACGGGGGGACCGCCCCCACCATGCCCGCAGCACGGCTGCAGTCATTGCGATTCCTCAATCGCGCCGCCGGGCTAGCGCCGCCGCTCCCGGCTGGCGAAGTCTGCGTCCAGCACCTCGCGCTGGCCCACGCACGCGAGGCGCCAGCGTCCGCCAGGCTGCCCGCCATCTACACAGCAGACCAAGTCCGCAGGCTCGAGCGGGCAGCCACGACCTTGCGGAACCCGCTCTACAGGGTGGTTGTCCGCACAGAACTTCGGAAACTGTTCGCCGCACTGCGGAACGACGATGCGGTGTGGGACAAGTTCGGGGAATGGACACAGGAAGGCACCACGGACGCGGGCTGCCTCTACGGCACGGCATACAAGACCAAAGCCACGGAAGCCACGGCGACGCGCCTGCGAGGAGGCATGCCGTGGATCGCCCCCCTGCGAGGCATCTCCCAGCCGCCCTCAGGCTGGGCCCACGGCTATGCATCAGACCACAGAGCACTTGGCCTTGCAGAGGACGCGGAGTTCGCGGTCCCCTCACCGCAACGCCTCTCCGCGGCAGCGACGCCCGGCGCGGCCGAACCCGACGAGTGGGAAGCAGCCATGCGACGCGCCCTCAGAGCGGCAGGCCTCTCACCACGAGAGGCCAAGGGCATCGGACTGCACTCTGCGAAGCGTACCATCCTCACGTGGGCTGGCAGCAGTGGCATCTTCACCGACCGCGAACACGAGGTGCTGGGGCATCACCGCTCCGCTGGGGTCGGCAGAGTCGTGTGCGCTTACAACGTCACGGTGTTGGCGGCGCCAGTCTCCAAGCTGCGGAAATTGCTCGAACACATCGTGCGAGGCAACTTCAACCCAGACGCGCCAGCCGGAATGCAGTGGCGTGATGGCGCCCAACCTGGCAGCCAGCCCGCGGCACCAGCGCCCGCTGCCGCGCCGTCGCACGCCGAACCCTGCCCACCAGCCAACGCACCCGTGGCCGCGTCAGCCGACGGGCAGGCCGGCACCGGCACCGCGCCGGCGCCGCAGCCCACACCCGCCCGCAGCCAGGCGGCCGCACAGGTTCCCGCAAGCGCAGCAGCCCCCGCGCAGGTGCACGCCCTCCCAGACCACGGCCCGCCAGCCAACGAAGCTGCCCACAGCTCCCAGCAACCAGAGGCGGCTGGCGCCTTGGCGATGGGCGCCGCCGCGCCACCGCCCGCAGACGCCACTGCGGCGCCAGGCGCGGCCGCGAACAACCTAGGCGGGTGGCAGCATCCCGTGAGCAAGCTCGGGTACCTCGTAGCCGATTCCACCGGGCTGTGCAAGTCCGTTTCGTACTACCACGCAGCCATCCCCGCAGTGCCGCCCTGCCCGCCCGCAGAGCGGCAGCGCTCGCGCCGGCGCATGGAACGCCTCATCGTCGAGACGCCGAACGGGCCCGTACCGAACCTGTGCGATTTCGCGGTGAACCAGGCGAAGTGGTCCCTGCAGCCGCCGGGCCCCGCGTACGTCATCTGCAAGGTCTGCAATTCCCGCTTGCTTAGCCGAAGGTGAGGGCCCGGGCGAGGGCTAGTGGGCCGACCGTACAAGCGTGGGAGCTGGTCGGCGATGAATTACAAAAGCTCAGGTGAGAGGGCGCGGGCCAGAGCCGGCAGCAACTGCAACGGCGTGGCGAGTCCAGTGAGACCGCCGGCCCCGCTTCCCCTGTATGCGCGCCGGGTGGAAGGGGGCCCTCCTCACCGACGCCCTGGCCGTCTCTGGGTGGCGCCCGCGCGCGCTGTCGGGGTGGGCTGCCGGGCAGCTCCCCTCGGGCGTGCGCGTGCGCTGACGCCAAGTGGCCGGGGGTTGCGGGCGAATTCCCCCCTCCTCCTGGCAGCGACTCCGGGAAGGAGATTTAATGGAAAGACATACAAAGCAAGCGGGAATGGCTGGGGGGAACAGATTCGGAATGCCGCCGTCGCGCTCGGCCCCACCGCGGGGCGCGCGCCCGCGCGCGCCAGCGGGCGGTCCGCTGGGCGGTCCGCCGTCTGGCGGCGTGCGCAGGCGCAACCCCGGGCGGGGCCGATCGCTGCGCTGGCGCCGCCCCCCCCCCCCCCCCGCGTCGTGGGTTCGGGAAGGAGCTTCGCAGGGGCGGGCAGGCAATGTCCCGCCGTGTGCAGCCGGGGCTTCTGCCTGGGCGGTGTGCCCTCTCCCCCCCTGTTTCCCCTCCCCCTGGGGGTGGCTTGCGCGGGGGGGACGTTGCCTGCCCGAGCCAACCTGCGATGCGCGGCCTCGGCCACCCAGTCACTGCGCCGCCGTTCTGCCGGTCCTGCGGCCCTGGTTGGGCCCTGCCCGTTCGGGGATTGTCGGCCCACGGCGGCCTCCTGGTCCTGGGCTCCGGGGGTTGGTCGGCGGCGCGGTGCCTGTGTGCTTTCTTGCGATCCCGCCCGCAGCCGCGCCTCCCTGGAGCTGCTTGCGCCCTCGCCCCCCGCCCCGCCGCCGCCGCCGCCGGGCAGCGTCATGGCCGCGTTCGGCGACTGGGACGCGGCACTGCCTCTGCAGGTCCGCGAACACCTCACCGCGCAGGGGCTGGACGACGCCGCGCTGGTCGTGGACAGCGTCTCGCCGCAGTTCCTCAAGGGCGAGAACGGCGCCACCGTCACCAAGACCGTGGACGTCGCGTTCCTGGAGGCCATCGCAGCCGCCTGCGACAGCGTCAAGCCCGGCACCGGGGCTTATGCCAAGGTCCGCCAATTCTACGAGAAGTGCTACAAGCACTGCGAGAAAGACGCCACCGCGGGCAGCGCTCCCGAGGCCACGCCGGTCGAAGCGCGCGACCCGACCGCGGAGGAGTACTACGAGCTCAGCCCGGAATACCGCAAGCAGCGACTCCAGGCGCTAAACACGGCGCGGCGCTGCGAAGTGGACTCTGGCCGCATCCCGTCCATGCGGATGTGGGGCCGGTGGGAACGCCTCCGCCGAGTCAACCAGGAGTTCGAAGCTGTCGCGGCCACTAAGGTCCAGTCCGACGCAGCAGCCCGCGCCCGGCCCGCCGCGGCCGAGCTCAATCCCGGCGTCGGCGGAGTCCTCGCCTGGCGCATGCCCGCAATCTCCGAGGCGCCGGCCGGCGGCCTCGTCGAGCTCGAGGAGGCGTGCTACCTCATCGAGAACCTGCTCTTCCTTTGCGGCTGGGTCAAAGACATCGACTGCCTGGTGACCTTCCACGAGCGGTTCTGGAGCCGCGTCCGGCGCTCCAGGCAGCCCATGCCCGGCTACCGCCCCATGACGCTCACGGAGGTGCAGCACGCGCTGTGCCTCTTCCAGAGCCAGTGGGCAAAAGCAAGCCGGAACGCCGACCAGCTGGACGCCACCGTCCGCAGCTCCCTGCCAGCGGACGCCGACGAGCTGGACGGCCGGCTCGCGCTCGCGCCGCGCCAAGCCGGCCACTCCGGCCCCGGCCCAGCCATCGCCACAGGCGCTCCCCTCGACGGCAGTGGCGCAAGCCTCCCGAAGCGCCCCCGCCTCACCCGCGGCGAGCGCCGCGAGCGGGCCGCCGCCGCAGCCGGCTACCCAAGCGCCCCGGCCCAGCCCCCCAAGGGCAATGGCAAGGGCAAGAGCAAGGGCAAGGCCACGCCACCCGCAGAGCCCGCCCGGCGCGCCCCCAAGGGCGACCTGTGCTGGCACTTCAGCAACGGGAAGACTTGCAAGCATGGCGACGCGTGCTGGTTCCGCCACGCTTGACTAGCCCCCGCAAGCGCGGAAGCGGACTTCCAGGCCGCCGACGCGCAGAGCGGTCCCCTGTCTAGCCTGGACTGGGCGCCCACGCGGGCTTCGGGCGCCCCTAATACCACGCCACCGCTTACCCTGGACCGGGCGCCCACGCGGGCTTCGGGCGCCCCTGACACCACGCCACCGCTTAGCCTGACCTTGGCGCCCACGCGGGCTTCGGGCGCCCCTAATACCTCGCCACCGCGGCGCCGGCACAGACGCCCGCCCCGCCTCTCGCATTCCCCGCGCTCACAGCCGGACCGCAGCCGGCAGCGCAGCCAGCTCAGCCCACGCGGTGAGTTCTCAGGCGGCGCGCGTGCCCACGACGGCCGCGCCAGCCGAACCAGCAATCCCAGCCCTCGCCAGCACGGCCCTCGCAGGCAGCCGCCCGGGGGAAGGTCGCGCACCCCGCCCCTGGTACCTCCGCCAGGCCGCGGCGACGACGCGCACCCCGCGACCGCGCCTGGCACGCGTGGCCCTCAGCGCGTGCCCGCCGCCGCACCGCCACCCCACGCCGCCCGGGCTCCACCACAAGCATGCCCCGCCGGGTGCGGAATCACCGTGGTCGAACACGCCGCCAGGCTCCGCGATCCGGTGACCGAGCAGGAGTTCGAGGGCGTCGACCATGCCCAGCAGGCACCCTTTGCCCCGCCGCCCCGCATCCCGCGTCGCCCGGGGCCTGTGCACCCAGACACCATCCCCTGGTACGGGGACGCCGCAGCGGCACCGGCCCGGCACCTCGGCGCGACCCGCCAGTGCGGCAAAGCAGCCACGCAAGTGCAGCGCACCATCACGCCGGTCCAGCACATCGACCAGGCGTGGGACCATGCGAACGGCCAACCATCGGCCGCGTGGGCGGAACCGCCGACCGCACCCCTGGCGGCCCCCATCCGCAGCGCGCTGCTCTGGGCGCGCGATTGCCCGGACTACGAGCAGTGGGTTATCGGGCAGGTACATTACTGGAAACGCGTCCAGGCCTCGCTTGCGGACGCCACGCGTGCCTGGCGTGCGGGCCTATCCTCCCACGTCCGCGACGTGCTACCGCCAGAATACAACGGGCCGCTACACCGGGAGCTACTTCTGGCATCGGGGCACGAGGACACCGATGTCATTGCCGACATACTGTCGGGATTTCGGATGCGAGGCGTCCTGCCCGACACGCAGCTGTTCGAGAACGTGGAGAGCACCGACCTGCCAGACGCCGCTGCGCTGGACCGCGCGCTCGAGCATGCGCTCGATTCCAGAGACTCCATGCTACTGGAGATGCTCCAGAATTCCAAGCGCGAACCGGACATGGCTGAAGTGCTCCGGGTCACACAGGAGGAATGCGCAGCTGGCAAGCTGGACGGCCCGTGGGAGGTGTGGCTCGACGCCGCCGGGCGCGTCAACTCCACAGTGCCCTTCGCCCGCTGGCTACCGACGCGCCGCTTCCCCCGCGTCCAGAGCCGCACCGCCACCTCCTACAAAGTTCGCCCCATCGACGATGCGACAGCGAGCGGCCTCAACCTGGCTGTCGCCACCCAGGAGCGCATGCGCATGGCCGGCCTGGTCTCGCTCCTCGACGCCGCGTCCTTCATCGCCGAGACCTTCAGCGACTGGGGCGCCGACGGCGTGCCGCTCATCGCAAAGGGTGACCACGCCCAAGCTTACCGGCAATGGCCGGTGCACCCCGACGACGTGCCCCTGCTGGTCTGCCTCGTCTGGGACGACAGCGTCGGGCACGCGGGCGGCTACCGGGCCTACGCGCACAAAGCCCTCCCTTTCGGCGCCTTTGGGGCAGTGTGGGGGTACACGCGAGTCGCCGCCAGCGTGAACCACCCCCTCCGACGAATTTTCAGCGTGCCGCAGAACGCGTACGTGGATGACTTCCACCGCGCCTCGCCCGCCAGGTGGGCCGCCCTCCACGAATGGGTATTCCATGAGCTGCGCACCATGCTCGGGATCCCGCTTAAGGAGGGCAAGAACCAAGGCCCCGCAGCCGTGCTGGACCTGCTAGGCCTGGACGTCATCTCCACTCAACGCTGGGCAGGCCTGCGCCTCACCGCCAAGCGCCGCGCCGCGCTGTCCGATGACGTGGACGCCGCCCTGCGGGCACAGCGCCTCAGCAAACGCGACGCTGCCAGGCTGGGCGGCCAGCTTGGCTTCGCCACCTCGGCGATGTTCGGCCGCATTGGCCGCGCCTACACCTCACCCGTGTCAGCGCACGCCGGAGGCTGGTCTCGCCGCCTCGCTCACGCCCTGTCCTGGTGGAAAGCGCTTCTACAGTGCCCGCTGTACCACAAGCGCGTCCACGGCACGGACCGCCCCGTCGTCATCGGGTGGGTCGATGGGTCCTGGGACATGGAAGCCGGGGCGGGCGCCATCGGGGGCATGCTGCTGTCCACCACGCACGGCAGCCACAGTTTCTCCGCGCACATCCCGCCGCACCTGTGCGCGGAGCTGCTCAAGGTCGGCAAGAAGCAGCGGAACACCCAATCCGAGCTGCTCGCCGTGCTCGTCCTGCTGCTGACGTGCCCTGAGGTAGTGCGCGGCGCCCGATTGGTCTTGTTCGAAGACAACACTCCCGCCCTGGAGACCATCCGCCGCGGCGCAGCAGGCGACGACGACAGCGTTGCCATCGTCGGCGCCATCTGGCTCCTACTCGGCGTCCTCGGCACAGAACTCTGGATCGAGTGGGTCGCGTCGGAAAGCAATCCCGCGGACTGTTTCTCCAGACCCGACGAGCCCGACAAGCAGGCAGAGGCCGCGGCTCTCGCGCAGCGCTACCACCTCCGGGCGGCCGAGCCCCGGTTCCCAGCGACCTTCCACATGGACGCCGGAGCCTGGGCAGCGGCAGTCTCCGCCGCACAGGAGGATTGGGCGCACAACGACCGCAGCCACCGCG